TGTCCATGGGAAATGGCCAACTGGAAGCCAGTGACTTTGATACACGTATTGTACAAGTGTACATGTTATTACTGGCCAAAGCCAACTGATTTGAACATGGTTCACTTGTAGAATGTCTGAAGCTTCATTATCACAGACTATTATTAAAATGGTTTAATAACAAAAAATAGTGTTTTCGTACTGGTACGCCACAAAATGTCCAGTAAATGACCCTATACCGCTTACATTTCTTCTTTCTAGAGCTGACAGACCGATATGATGCCCTTGCCAAAGGCTGATTTTCCTCCATTGCCAGTGTCTCTGAAGATTTCAATCAAGTCACGTTTTTCAGTCAAAACCAACCTGAACAAAAGACAAAAAATAAATGTACATGTACTTGGATGTTTAGTTGGGTGTTAGTGTGATAAGCAGACCAACAGAGTCATAGGATCTTGCTGCTTTATTGGTTGATCCTGTAGACAACCTCTGACTTCACTCCCCCGTTTGCAGAACAATCTCCCTGAGGCATACACTGTAAGTACATTACTTCAAAGAAAAAGGTGGCCAACTGACAGCACTGCAAACAAGAGATGGCATCACTACACAGTGACAACACAGTCAACACACCACACATACATACATACATGTACACTGTAAGACTTTTCGACATGTTTCTAAAAGCTACATGTAAATACAGTGTACTTAAGGTTGCCTGAAAAATTTATGCCAGAGTTGTAATAGTATCGAGTCAATAATTTTTGTAAGGAGAGCTGAGTCACTGTAACCCAGTGACTTAAGTCAGGTTATTAGGCAAAATCTTGAATACCGGTACATGTGGAGTCGAGTATTTAGATCAAGTCAATTTGAATCCCCAATATTTGAAAACAACATGGTGAATAAAAATGAGACGTTTAATTTTTTTGGCATTTATCAAATTTACCTTTGGGCTTCTACTTCATACACATGTCCACATATTAAATGCCACACCATATCTTACTCTTGATACTAACATTTACACATACATGCGTGGTATGAAAATGTAATAGTGTTGTAAACTGGTCAAGTATTCCTAGCCTATACCTCTGTTTTGGCCGTTGGTGAAAGTCGGAGGTGTCAGAGGAAGCCTAAGATAAGACATCTGAAATACATGTATTACTCTACAACCTCTTGGGACAATGAGAGATACATGTACATAGGAATGAGGCGTGTATTTGCTGAAAGGTTTCCAAAAATGAATCTTACATGTTAAGTTTGTTTACTCCGATACAAAATTACAAATATACCCCTCTACCTGGTAATAAAGCAAACCTTCATACAGATGAATTTCACATCCACCAAGAAAGATATTTAGCAATGTTCATTTCACATCTTTCCTATGGTTTACAGGGTAGTGGAAGGGGTGTGTTCGTGAGGGCACTTCCAAGAAAAATGAAAAGACATCACAGTATGCAAGGACTCCATTGTACCATGGTGTGGAGAGAGGATCATAGTAGGCCTACATGTACACGCACATGTATGCACATGTTGGGTGTGATTGATTGATAATGTGCAATTGTTTGATCATTGTGCAAAAGGGAATAAATACATGTACATGTATGTGCTTGGCTGGTCTGAAATGTGTGTTTAAGACCGGCTCATGAGAATGGACATGACTAATGCCCAAGCCGGAGCATTCATTCTTCTGAGACAGGTCTACAATGTTTGTTTGAGACTGCTCAAGCACATGTAGTTATTCCCATTTATAAATACATGTTCACTAATAGAGTCAAAAGAAGCCAACATGTGATGGATTTCTAAAACTTTACTTTCATTCTCCCTGTACACATCCCGTCCATTTTATGGTATGTGGGTCATTCTATAAATTTTTCCATCCCTGTTACCTCTGACATGTATACCATCTGACATGTTTGACAAGGGATGTATCACTGAAATTGATTTCAAATTATTTCTATTTGTTTGGCAGGTAATTTGCAGTACTTATGTGTATTCAGTCTTTGAAATTGAAGAATGAGTTCTAAACATTAAGAAATCACAAGCCAGACGTAACAGGCACAGGAAAAAATTGGAACCCAAAAAATCGAAATTAATATTAGCATGACCCATACTCCTTTTGACAGCTGTCCAGTAGAACTCCCTTACTAATATGGGCAAAACACAGACACAGAAAGGAAGATAATGAACAGGGCTTTCATTTTTGCCTTTATTTGAATAAAAACGATGATGTTTTGAGCATTTTATGATTTATTGAAAACGAACCCAACTGGCCACTAAGTGCTACTGGGACACACACACTCAAGCAGTTTCCTGTGATACCTACTTAAATGAACTCATGCGCACGCGCTAAGCACACAGACTTCTGACCAATCAGACCCGATTAAGCTCTCTCGTATCCATGTGCTAGCACGTGATTTACCCATCAGGCATTATCTCTTCTCAGCAGGCATTACCCGATTTTAATACATGTACAAGGTCATGTGACGCGTTTCGACCAATAGGATAGAACAATTGAATAATGCATGATTAAGCTCAGTCAATAATTCCACCATCAGCCAATTGCTTTTTCTTCCCAATTCACAGTTGTAAAAGAAGTACTTTAAAATATGAGCTTCCCAAAACCAATCCCCGATTGTGGGCCTGAAGCGTTTAAACTACACCGGATTACTGTAATTTTAGGCTTTCTTGCATCTTATTTGATATTCTGTGCCGCTATTAGACTGATTACGGCGCTCTAGCTTCAAAGTCAGCTAGTAAAAACACAGCTGATGAAGCCTCCGACGGAGCCGACTCGGAAGTTGAGTATTGGAAAACGGCCCAGCCTCCAAACAGGTATAGGGACATGCTGTAACTGTATGACACAGTCGGCAAAGCCTCCAGGGGACTCATCACACCAACTGCATTAGGTTTACGCCTCGNAACACCTCCCGTCCATTTTATTGTATGTGGGTCATTCTATAAATTTTTCCATCCCTGTTACCTCTGACATGTATACCATCTGACATGTTTGACAAGGGATGTATCACTGAAATTGATTTCAAATTATTTCTATTTGTTTGGCAGGTAATTTGCAGTACTTATGCGTATTCAGTCTTTGAAATTGAAGAATGAGTTCTAAACATTAAAAAATCACAAGCCAGACGTAACAGGCACAGGAAAAAATTGGAACCCAAATAATCGAAATTAATATTAGCATGACCCATACTCCTTTTGACAGCTGTCCAGTAGAACCCCCTTAAATGAACTCATGCGCACGCGCTAAGCACACAGACTTCTGACCAATCAGACCCGATTAAGCTCTCTCGTATCCATGTGCTAGCACGTGATTTACCCATCAGGCATTATCTCTTCTCAGCAGGCATTACCCGATTTTAATACATGTACAAGGTCATGTGACGCGTTTCGACCAATAGGATAGAACAACTGAATAATGCATGATTAAGCTAAGTCAATAATTCCACCATCAGCCAATTGCTTTTTCTTCCCAATTCACAGTTGTAAAAGAAGTACTTTAAAATATGAGCTATAAAAAGTTGGAGATCTCAAGCAGAATTGACCAGTCGTCATGATCATGCAGAGTAATCAGGCAACCGTGCAGAGGTACATGTACATGCCTACTGTATACAAGTACACTCAAGTTAACAGTTAGAACATTGCACACCATGCACTAAGGCTCGGCCGAATATTCGAATAACCGAATATTCAATCGATTGTCAAATATTCAAATATTGTTTTTCGAATTTGAATATTCAAATGCAAAACTCATGAAAAAGAAGGGAAACTTTCCTTTTGTTTTAAATGAGAAAAATTGCACCATGGAAGCTTGTTCCAAGCAGATTCAAATGAAAAGCATCAGAAATCTTAGCAAGATTTAAAAATTAAATTATTCATTAAACAATTTAAAAGAAAAGAAAGAAGTCTTGTTCATCTCGTCAATCTTGCTAAATCTTGACTGGAGATACTCCTATCATAATATCATAATGTACAACTGTGTGTGATATTGCAACTGATTTTGTATATGGTTTGTTCATCAACATCTGCCGGTCGGTGCATCCGAATATTCTGACATTTGATCAAATTGAAGGTTGAATATTCGAATAGTGAATTATCCGAATTGACTCTGCCCAATCACATGTGTACTGACATGACTGATATGTCATGAATGATTCCTTTACGATCGTGTACATGCATACGGGTGTAGGCCTACAATAGTATTTTCCCAGTTCTGGATTTTTCCTAGTTCTGGATCACTTCAAAAGAAAGTTACTGTACATGAACCACACACATGTACATGTACAAGTAAGATGAGTTGTTTGGAAAGGTAAACTGTTACATGTATGCTTAGTGCTGTAGAGATTTTGTTTGAAGAAAATTTCTAGAAGAGAAATTTCAATCAGATTTCTGATTCTCACTTTGACACTTCCACTCCAGATGGTTTGTCAAAGATCACGGGGCCAAAAAAAATCACAAGGAGAAAACGTCACTTACATGTCACATGTGCAATTCCTTATTCCAGTATGTTCAAGCACTTTTTTATACACTGATCAGAACTCTTGCATTGAATGTTAAATCACATCAAAATGATTAGAATCTCCAACTTTCAAACATTTGCCAAAGGCTGAATTTTCTTCCTAGTTTTAAATGACGTATGAAGTACACGTACATGTATATGCACATACATTGCAAACTCAAATATTTACAGATGCACATGTAAAAAAAATGTATGAGATTGTCACTGTGCTGTCCAGGATATTGGACAATTACCTCATTGCCTAGCTGAAAAAGTCCAGTTAAAATTTATGCTACAGTAGTTCTTTTTGTAATTCACTGGAATTCTGATACAAAAACATTTCCGCTAAATTGAGAAACTCTTCATTAGAAAGTCAGCTTGTAAATAACAGATGTCTGACTGAAAAACAGATCTTTTGCTTGATTACCGTAACGAAATTTTGAAACAGAAATGACAATGAAAAGTGCTGTCACTTTTGTTGATAATGTATTAAGAAAGCCAGGAAAAAGTTCCACAGACATTACAGACACCCCGTACCCTAACCCTGACACCGAGATGAAAAATGTGAAATATTTTCGAAGTGGGGCAAGTCATGTCTGCATGTACGGTGTGTTACATGTACAGTCCTAGAAAGATGAGAAACAAGACAAACGCTTATTAGCCTACATGTACAATGCTTGATATTTTCACTGCTTGATGAGTGCTACATGTATGTGTATTGCTAACCACAGTAATACACACAGGCACGTACCACCGCACCTGGCACCCATCTACCCCCAGAACTGTGTGGTCGGACGTCTGCCCCGCTCGAACAAACAGGGAGCGGGGAGGACATCGGACCCCAAAGTTCTCGGGGTAGCACCTAGGCACTGGAATTTCCAGGCACTGCGCCATGGCAGTAAAATGGCTTCTACGTTCTACATGTATATAAAGTATTTTGAATCACACAATACTCCTCAGTCAATGCGCCCTGTTTAGCCAGTAGCTACAGTACAACTATGGATACATCATGCACACCTAGGGTCGTCATTCTACCGGTAAAATAGTTCATACTTCACAGGCCTAGCCTACGCATAGGCCTAGTATGTGTACGTGTGGTTTCGAGTCAACTCGGACCCAAACCAACTCGGACCCATACCAACTGGGACCCATGCCAACTCGGACCCACGACCAACTCGGACCCATGCCAACTCGGCCCCAGTACTAACCTGGACCCACGACCAACTCGGACCCACAACCAACTCGGACCCAATACTAACTCGGACCCACCCTGAGTCAACTTGGACCCAACCCCAGGAGCGTGATTAACTTGTTGAAAATGTTTATTTTGTCCACTTTTACATTTTAGCATTTGGTAAATGACACTTTTGCACTGCATGCTGCCTAGATTTAACGTCCTCTCTACACGTTACGCATGGAAACAGTGGCACAGGCTTCCCAGAATTTTTCCATTTTCGAGTTTGAACAGGCATGGTGGTTAAAAACCGTACAGGACTAGATTTGATATCAGTGATGTCTTGGAACAAGTGATAAGTAACCAACGAGCGTCATATTTTTATGGAGGCACATTTCCTTTGATGTCTTACTTGCCGCTTGTAATCTGGAATCTGAATCAGGTATTAGCTTCCGAGGTACCGGCGTGATTGACCAGAAAGACTGATTTTGTCACCTTCCATTCTTGAAACCCTATGA